GCTCTCTCTTCACCACGACGGACCGGTACAGTGCCCGCTTTACAGCAGATGCTGCGCCAATCTGCCTTTCTCCCCCCATTCGTGAACAAGATCCCCAGATACTTAAACTCCTCCACTTGAGGCAGGACGACCCCCCCTGACCTGGAGAAGGCGCTCTGCCCTTTTCCGGTTCAAGACCATGGCCTCGGATTTGGAGGCACTGAGCCTCATCCCGGCCGCTTCGTACTCGGCCGCGAACCGTTCCAGCGAGAGCTGCAGATCACGTTCCGATGAAGCCAACAGGACCACATCATCCGCAAAAAGCAGAGATGYGATCCTAAGGCCACCAAAACGGATCCAGCCCCCCTAAAATAGGCCTAGTGACACCACTGCTCTAAGGTAGTGTTGAGCAAGATTTCTGAAAAACAAATGTCGAATCTACAATGGAGTATTCTCCCTGGGGCAACAACAATTACTTTTATAAAGTAATGTAATCATTACACTACCATTATATTTCAAATGAAGTATTCCTCCTATTTGTTTTTTCACAATCACAGTTCAGGTATTGAAGCCTTAAATTTTTGAAGATTATACCATAAATTGTGCAACTTAGAGCATGATGATGTCACTCCAATTTTCCAACAAACTCTTTTTTTCTTATATTATTACACTTTCTCTACAGTTTATATCAACATGTCTGTACTTTGTCCCAGAAAAAAAAAAAAACAGCAACTTTGGATTAAGCAAAAGCTGATGGATTTGGAGTTTAGCACAGCAGCTGTCCAGATCTGTGTTTTTTGGTGTTTATTGCATTTGTTGTTGGGTTTATTGTGTTACGTTTATTTTCTGTCCCTGTGTGTTTCCCTGCCATCAGTTAATTTTCTCTGAGCTTTTCTGAATTCAGCTCCACAGTCCTGCCACGTCCTCTCGCACTTGTCTCATTAAAGTTGTTCGTCGTTCGCACACACCTTTCATAGCCCCTAAGACACACCTCCTGGGACACCCTTTCTACTGTGGGATGGGATATGTCACTGCATGAGGTTTCTTCCAGCTGCAGTTTACAGTCGGGGGTGGGGGGTTGGGGGGAGAGACAGTTCAGAAATGCCATTATTTGTCTGCAAATCTGTCCCGGTTAAAGCTTCACAGTTTTCTATAGATGAATTCCTCCATTCAAAATGTCCTTTTTTTTATTTCCGTTCATGAATTTTTGACTGTTTGACAATTTTTGTAAATGTCTGCTTCTGGAAGCGAGTAGTTTTATTTAACTCTTTTATTTTTGGGAAGTCGTTGAAGCAAACTGCAGCATCCAAGCTGCATTTCTGTTGATGCAGTACTGTTATTTTTATGTTCTAAGAAAACTTGACTGCATTCTTATATCTTTATCTACAAAAATCCTGACAGAACTGCATCTGAATGTTTGAGTTTTTCTTCCTCTAGCTGCTTATGATACTTTAAAATGGATTTGTAGCTTGTAAACGTGAATGAAAAAATGTTCTTGTGTTTCAGATGTTCACCTGTGTTTCAACTTTGACATGAAGAACTTTAAGGTCTTCTCTGGTTCTGAAGAGACTCAGTTTGGATACACAGTCCAGCAGCATGAGGCAGGAGGGCGCCAGTGGTGAGACTCTTGTTTCACTGAAGTCTTTGCTGTTTGTATCTGCTGTTTTAAAATCACACAGCTGAAAATTATTCAACAGGTTTAACTTCAGAAATAGGAATTCTTAAGGCACATTTATTCCTGTAGACTCCCACTTTAACAAGCAAAAAACAGGAAGTCACTTACTTGAAAAATTAACCCACCTGCTGCTGTTTAGGTCAGGACAGAAAGATTTGAAACTTTTGCCTCTGAATTTTGAATTTAATCTAATAATACCTGTTTAATAAACATCTCAGCAAATTTAGACAAAACACAAACAACACACGAACAGTTTTTACATCTTTCAGGTAATATCTTTGAGTCTGATGGAATCCTCTTTTTAAAAGCTTGTTACCAGCTGTAGCAGAGGAAACGACTAACAAGTAGATTTAAATATACAACGGGTAAAATAAGTATTGAACACGTCAACATTTTTCTCAGTAAATATAATACTAGAGGTACTAATGACATGAATTTTTCACCAGATGTCGGTAAAAACCCAAGTGATCCATACGTACAAAGAAATCAAACCATAAATGTCCAGAAATGAAGTTATTTGTAATAATGTGGAATGGCACAGGGAAAAAGTATTGAACACATGAAGAAAGGGAGGTGTAAAAAGGCCAAAACACCAGCTGAACTCTCTCAGTAATTAGAAAACAAGCCTGCCCCTTAGTGCAAGTTAATATCAACTGGTTCAGTCCCAAAT